GTTTCCCTCTCGAAGGCCCCCAGGCGGCTCTGGTCCACAGTGTGCCTGGTGATGGTGGAGGTGGTGTAGCTCGTCCAGTACAGAGTGTCCCAGCCACGGTGGTACGCCAAGCCCTCCACCGAGCCCACGTCTGCAGGGAGAGGATGGCAAGGGGTGAGCACTTTTGGGTCCAAAGCTTACGGGGGGGTCTGCTCTGAGGGATGGGAGAACTGAGTCTGAGGGGACACACTGGGGGCAGAGTATGGAAATCCTTCCTTCCAGCTTCTCAGCCAGGAACCTGAGCTGCACACCCAGCCCTCCTCCCCATTAATGATCAACAAAAGCTTTAATGAAGTAGCAGTGAGAGATGGAACCTGCTCTCCTGGTCTCAGTAATAAAAGCCACCTCGAGTGCCAAATGTAAATACGCTCATTAGTGAGAGCGTTTATAACCCTCGCTGGAGGTTCTCCCTGGTGATGCAGAGCAACAGCCACAGCCCTTCCTACAGCTGTGGGAGCCAAGGAAACCGAGCGAGTGCAAAGCGAGGGCTGGAGGTGAGGGCTGGGCTGGGTAAGGTCTGCTCAGCCCCCACAGCTCTGCCTGGCCATGAAGTGCAAACAGAGCAGATCCCAAATCTGCTGCAGCGTGTTTCTGGAGCAAAGCACACCCACGTGCACGGCTGAGCCTCGTGATGTGCTTTCTGTGCCAGAGGGAGCACTGCGACTGCTCCTGACATCCAAGGCCTCTGCCACAGAGGAGGCTGAGAATTCCCAGCTGAGCTCAGCGAGCGTCACTCCAAACACCAAAGAGTCACAGAACATCCAGTGCTGGGAGGGACCCGCAGAGATCACCAAGGCCAACTCCAACGTGAACCAGGGAAAGGGAAACTCAGGCAACACATGTGGCAGCTCGGGAGGAAGGGGGGCTAAGAAGAGTGGGGTCTGAGCCCTCAGGGACACTCACTCTCAACAATGGTTTTGCGTCCCGTGCCGTCATCGTTGATCTGCTGGATGTTACCGAAGTGGATGTCGCTGTAGAAGATGCGGTTGCTGCCTTTGGAGCCGTAGCGGTAATCGAAGGCCAAAGCGATGACGTTCTTCATGTGCTCAGCATCCTCGAAGGGTTTGATGGGAGCGTTGAGGTTGTTCTCATCCGACAGGTGGATGCTCTTGAGGATGGTGCGCTCCGAGTACAGCAGGTAGCCATCGTAGTCGCGGCAGCTGACGCCGTCCTCGGCCAGCATCCCGTGGGCACAGGCGCACGTCCGCTGCCCCCCGCCACGGAACAGGCACAGCTGCTGGCAGCCACCGTTGTTCTGAGCGCAGACGTTGGTGCCTGGGTGGATAGAGGAGCTCAGATCTCTGCCCTGAAGGCACAGCAACCCGACCGTGCCCCCTCCACCCCGCGCCCGGCCCCATGGGCACCCAGCCCCGACGGACCCTTCTGCCGCGCGCGGTTGAAGACTTTGATGTCCTTGAGCTGCACGCCGATGCCCGTCCGCAGGGACACCGACTCAGTTGCGTTGTCTTTGCTGCCTCTCTTAATGGAGCCATTTGCATGGGTCCTACAACAGGAAACGGTCATGGTGTGGCTCGGCCCCAGCAGGGTCTTCTGCTCTGAGCCCATCCCCACCAGCCTCCCCAGCAGTGCTGGCTGTGGGGACCCCACCTGTCACTCCAGTAGATGTAGTCCTCAAAGACTGACACGGAGAACATGTCCATGTTGTTGCTGGCCAGCACCACCTCACGGTTCTCGCCTGTCTCCAGGTCTATCCGCTCAATCTTGTCTGTCCGTGCGTCACACCAGTACAGCTTCCCATCCTGAGGAGAGGAGAAACCATCCCATGGTAGAGCGCAGACGGGGCCAGCCCCGAGGCAGCCCCACACCTCCACCCCATCTCAAGGCTCAAAGCACAGCCCTGGGCTGCTGGGTGGATGGAGAGGGGTCCGAGTGGTCCCACAGCGCCCAGCACCACAGGCTCCAGACCCTCCACGCACACTCCTCTCCTCCCCACACACACCTCGTAGTCGACAGATATCCCATTGGGCCAGCTGATGCTGACATTCACCAGCACCATCCGCTCGGTCCCATCCAGGCGCGAGCGCTCGATGCGGGGGTACTGCCCCCACTCCGTCCAGAACAGATACCTGCAGGGACACAGCAGTGTGACCGCAGGGCCCTTTGGCAGCACCCTCCGACCTCAATCCATCCCCCAGGCAGCAGCTCCCCCCACCCCCCGGCCACTGACAGCGTGCATTTCCTCACCCCTTCTCTGGGTGCACGGTGATGGCCCGCGGTTTGTCCAACCCCTGGGAGATGACCACGTAGCGGAAGGATCCGTTCAGCCTGGCCACCTCGATGACATCAAAGCCCTGATCTGTCCAGTAGATGTTTCCTGCACAGAGGATCTGTGAGTGGCCCCCCCCCCCCCCCCGGCCCCAGGGTTCCCCCCCTCAACGCAGACCCCACTCACCCGCGATCCAATCCACGGCGATGCCCTCCACGCGCCCGATGCCGTTGGTGACCACATCCTCACGCCACGTCTGATCCCTCTTGGCACGGCTGATGGTGCTCAGCCCCATGTCCACCCAATAGATGGTGTCGTTCTCTGCAGGCAGCGGGCTCACGTCGGTGACCGCCATGGGAGCCGGGGGTGCGATCGGACAGGAGCTGCACCGACCTCCCCAACCCAGAGCCCCGCAGCACAGCCCACACCTCACCTGCGTGGAAGTCGATCCCCACGGCCAGCGAGGTCCCCGACACCGGAACGAGGGCGTCTGATTTGTCATTGGGGTCCAGAGGAATGCCACGGATCCCCTCGTGGACAGAGTAGAGGAGGAAGGAGCCGACGCCTGCAGCACATGGGGATGCTGAGGGCAGCGCTGGGCACATCCCACCGACAGACGCCCACCAACAGGGGGATGTCCTTCATGCCTCTGCTTTGCTCACACCCCTGCCTGATCACGGACTGAGCGGGTGAACACAGAGGGGAAAAGCTGCCCTCACACAACCCGGATGGGATTGCTGTGAGTAAAGGAAAGGAAGGAGACACTCTAAACTGAGAATCGACACAGCTGGGGATGGGATGGGGCCTCTGACCGTGGGGCAGCAGCAGAGAACGGCAACAGAGCCCCTCCTGGCTTCGCTCTGTGACCAGGGCTGCACCCAGAGAGGTCTGCACTGCACCCCCCGGCTCAGGGCCTCACACAGCAGCGCTGATCCCCAGAGCTCCTTATGGGGCACTGACTGCATTGTGGGTCCGGGACAGACAGACAGACAGACACAGCCAGCCCCCCCCCGGCTGCCACCTCCAGCTGAGTGCTGGCACAGAGCGCTGCATCACGGCAGGGCAATGTTGTTATTCCATCCCTGCCCTGACCCAGATGGTGCCGTAACTCTGCCAGCGCCAGCCAAAAGGACAGAACACTGCGCACACAAACAGCCTTTGAGCGGTGCTGGCACTGAGCACCATGGGGGAGGGCTCTCTTTTCTCCAAGGATGACGGTGGCAAACAAGGTAGAGCTTTGGGAGCAGCTGGGGGGACCACTCACAGCTGCAGGGCTGGGACCGCACAGTGACTTCAGCGCCTCGGGGAGCAAAGCCAACACAACACCACGCTTTCCACTGCCCCTTCCATGCGGCGCTGAGCCCCAGGGCTGCCCCACAGACATGGGCACAGCAGCACTGACCTTCACAGGACTGCTGCCCGCTCTTCAGGCTGTAGCCAGCAGTGCACATGCAGGAACGCGAGGTCTCCGAGGTGGGCAGGCACAGCTGCGAGCAGTCGCCGTTGTTCACGCTGCAGGGGTTTATCCCGGCTGGATGGGGAGGTGAAGGGTGAGGGGCGACGCAGGGTGGGCGCCCCCTGAGGACTCCCCCCACTTCATGCAGCCCCCACCGGCCACTCACCCTGCTGGATGCTCTCATCGTACACCTTCATGTGCATCACCAACGTGGTGCTGTTACGCAGCACCGTCACCTCCGTCCCGTCCTTCTTGTTGCAGGTCCCCATCCTCTCCGAGGCCTGGTCAGCCCACCACAGCTTGTCCCCTGCATGCAGGGTCAGGAGCATGCAGCAGCTTTCCCCATCCCCTCCTCCCCCCGCAGCAGAGCCACGGCTCCACACAGCTTTAAGGCGACGGCGTGGAGGGAAGGGGCTGTGCCCACTCTCAGGGAGCAGCAGCAGGCCAGGAGGAAGGCCAGGACCCTGCAGCCCATCCCACAGCTCTCACCCATGATGGCCAGCGCGGTCGCCTTGCTCAGCTGACTCTTCACTGCCACAATCACCTCCAAGTCGCTGCCATCCAGGTTGCATCTGTTGATGGTGCCATTGCCGGAGCTGATCCAGTACAGTTTGCTCTCAGGGTAGTCGATGGCCAGACCTGGGAATGAGGGAGCAGCGATGTCAAAAGGATTGACATCATCGGGAGGGGAAGGCGGTGCTGGCGGAGGAGATGGGAGCCCCCAGGTTGGGGCGATGTAGGGGGACACCCATACCAACAGGGCCCTTCTGGTTGGTGAAGAGAAGCGTGCGGTTGCTGCCATCCATGTTGGCCACGCTGATGTTGTCCCCATCCGTCCAGTAGAGCTTCCTGCAGTGAGGGAATGGTGAGCTGGGAGGGGGGCTGAGCCCCACAGAGATGGCCCACGCCTGTGTGTGTCAGCCCAGCACCCAGCACCCAGCACCCAGCACCCAGCACCCAGCCTAGAGCCCAGCACCCAAATCAGCACCCTACACCCAGTACCTACAGGTGCAGGCTGACAGCTCCATCCCTGCAAAGCTCCATGCACGCTGCTGCAGCTTTGTGCACGCACTCCTGGGACACACACGTTGGCACCCAGCTCCTCACGCACGCTCCGTGCATGCACACACCAGAACGCAGCCTGCTCCTTCTTGCACACCCCGCAAGCACCACCTGCACCCATCTCTCCCTCTCACACCTCCCACATGCGCTGACACACGTGGTGCACAACCTGTTCCCTGCACCACACGTGTGCTGCGTCAGCTGTGCTCTCACGTGTGCCCACGGTGGCACTCTGATGCTCCCAGACCCCACACGTACCCATGGAGGGGGTGCACCACCAGGCAGTGGGGTTTATCCAACCCCTGGATCACGGCGTTCTTGAAGGAGCCATCCAGCCGCGCCACGTTGATCTGCTTCTTGTTGGTGTCGTAGCTGGTCCAGAAGAGGTTTCTGGAAACCCAATCCACAGAGAGGCCGTGAGCGTTCGGCAGGTCTGAAAAGCAACAGGGAGGGACAGAGGTCAGCTGGTTCCACGGGCTGTGCAGGAGCGACGGGCTGCCCTGCGGGCAGAGCTCCTCCGCGCCCACCCGCAGACACGACGGTCTCCACGCCAGTGCCATTGATGAAGGCTCTTTTGATGGTCTGCGTGCGCACATCGGACCAATAGATGCGCTGCTCCACAGCGTCGTAATCCACCACGGTGACGTTGTCGATGTCAGGGACGGTGAAGGAGATGATGTAGTTGTAGTAGGGGTTGTCGATGTCCACGCCGCGGATCTCCATCTGCCGTGCGTACAGCAGGAACTTCTTGAACTCTGCGGGAAGAGGGAATTTGGTGGGACCTCAGCCCTGGGGGGGGCTGAGTGCATCCCAGTGCCCGCAGCCGCACCGTAACACGTGGTGTTGTCCTTGTCCAGCTTCATGAGGTGGGGGCAGGCGCAGGACAGCGTGCGGTTATAGTTGATGAGGCAGAGGTGGGAGCACGGCCCCTTGCCTCCATTGGCTTCGCAGGGGTTGGGCGCTGCGGAGAGGACAGGACGTCACACACACACAAGGACCCCTATCCCAGTGTGCCCCCCACCCCACCAAGGCTCACCCAGGGGCTGCCGGGAGGGGTGGTACACCTGCAGGTCGAAGGGCTGCGTGTTGGTCCTCTGCACCACTGTCACATTGTGCCCCGTCCATTTATTGGCCTTGGCCAAGGTGTTGGTGCGCCAGTCGGTCCAGTACACCTCCCCCCCATAGAGGGTGACAGCAAAGGGGTGCGAGAGGTACTCGTGGCCCCGCAGCACCTCAATGTGCCCCGTGCCATCGTACAGGGCTGAGTAGATGGCATCCGACCTGCGCCCGATAGATGGGGACAAGCGGTGAGAGCACAGAACGGGATTCAGTGCAACAGCAGCAGCCCAGGGTGTGAGCGGCCACCGCCCCGCACGGTGCTGAGCTGCATTGCACACCGCAGCCCCCAATGCAGAGAAAACCCAAAGCAAAGGCTGGAATGCGTCACAGACACCAACACCCCATACAGAGCAAAGGCTGCAAGCCAAGCAGACGAATGGCAGAACAGCACAGCAGACGTCAGGGGGTGGGGATGGGCACCGCCCAGGGGGGGCTGCAGGGGGGGGACCCGAACCTACCTGGCGTCAATCCAGAGGATGCGCTTCTCCAGGTAGTCCACGGTGAGCCCATTGGGCCACCCCCCAGAGCCCGTCTCCTTGTGGATGGTGCGTCGGCCTGCACCGCTCATGGAGGCGGCCTCGATACGGGGCAGGCTGGCATCCCAATCCGTCCAGAAAAGGATCCTATGGGAACAGCGGGGCAGCGCTTAGTGGGGATGCAGCAGCACTGCGCTCCCCCCACAGTCCCAAGGAGGGTGAGCTGCTCTCACCCATAGCGGGGGTCCAGGGCGATGGCCCGCGGGTGCTCGATGTCCCCCGCCAGCAGCGTTGTGCGCATGGTGCCGTCCAGCTTGGCCACCTCGATCTGATCCAGGTTGCTCTCCACCCAGTAGATGTTGCCGGCGATCCAATCCACCGCCAGGCCCTCTGGGGTGGCCAACCCGTACTGGATCACCACCTCAAAGCTGGTCAGAGCTGTGGGGTGCAGAGCAGTGGGGCTGAGGCCAGCTGCCCCCCCCCCACCCATGCCGCCTCATCCTGAATGGGTCCCCCCGGCTCAATGGAGGCAGGCGGTGGGGACGCATCTGAGATTTACGCCCTCCTACAGCTGGCCCTGAACCCCAGCAGATGCAGCCCCACATCTGCGGTCCTTCCTGCCCCTCTGCAGCACTGCAGGCATCAGAAAGCACAACCGAGTCGGGGCCCCAGGCTTTGTGCTCCCAGATGCTGGGCTGCAACTACTATTAGGAAAGCACTGGGAACACTAATTAACTCCTACGTAACGAGCAGCTTTGGAGACCAGAAGGGGATCATCACCAGAGCTGCGGCGCTGCACCAGAGCCCTTCCTTCCCAGGGCCCTACCCTGACCCCTGCAGCACCCCGGGACTACACACCCCCATTCTCCAGCAGTTTGCCCCTGTAGATCTTGTCCTCCACCACATCAGTCCAGTACAGAGAGCTCTGGTTGAGGTGGAAGTCCAAGGCGATGGTGTTGCGCAGTCCAGGCACTAGGACGCTGTAATCGCCGCGGTGCAGATCGATACGACGGATCTCGTGGCGGTTGGAGAAGATGATGAACGGTTTGAAAGGGTCTGGGGACACAGGGAGAGCTCAGAAGGGGACGGGGACACAGCAGAGGGACCGGCAGACCTCAGTGGGAGGCAGCTCTGCCTCACGTCCCCCCTGTCCCACAGCAGCCAGCAGAGTCTCGGCACAAAGCAGGAGCCCAAAGCCTCAGAGCCCTTCCATCCCCCCAGGTCCTGCTCGGTGCTGCAGGATCAACGCCACCCAGAGGAGGCAAAACCGCGAGACCCTCACACCACCCCTGGCACCCACCAAGGCTGCGACAGCTCTCGCCATCGGGCTCCAGCATCCAGCCCTCGTAGCACGAGCATTTGACGTTGTACTTGTCCTGCTCGCACTTCTGGCTGCACTTGAGATGCTTGGCGCAGTAGCTCTGGATCTGGCAGGTCTTGTTGTCCGCTCCCAGCTCCATGCCCAGGGGGCAGGAGCACACGATGCCCTCCCCAGGGGCCACGGTGCAGTTGTGGCTGCAGCCACCATTGTTCAGAGAGCACTGATCTGCGGGGAGGGGATGGGATGCGCAGGTCAGCTTCATCCCTGTGCACGTCACCTCCGCCCCTGCACGCAGCCAGGTCCCCCCGCGCCCAGCACCCAGCTCACCGCACAGCTCGCCCTCGTCGGAGCCGTCCCCGCAATCGTCGGACCCATCGCAGAGCTTCTCTGGGGGGAGGCAGATGGAGGTGTTGTTGGCACAGGTGTGCGAGGGCGGTTTGCACACCAGTGACTCGCAGTTCTCCTCGTCCGAGTTGTCCTCGCAGTCGCTGTCCCCATCACAGACCCACGCTTTACTGATGCAACGCGCTGCAGGAGGGAGGAAGGAGGGATCAGACCCAGGGACGGCACTCACTGCACCCCCCACATCGAGCCCAGGGTGACCCCAGTGGGACGTGGCTCTGAAGTTCCCCTCTGCCCCACTCTCACCCGAGTCCTTGCAGCCAAATTTGACGTTGGGGTCGCAGACGTGGGTCACCCCCTCGCAGTTTTTCTCGTCGCTGGAGTCCATGCAGTCGGTGTCACCGTCGCAGCGCCAGCGCATGGGGATGCAGAGCCCATCCAGGCGGCACTGGAACTCGTCGGTGTGGCAGCCCCCAGGTGGGCGCGTGGCTGCGGGGGGGGGGGCACACAGCTCAGCGCCTGCACCCGGGGCTGGGAGGTTGGAGAGGGGCAGCAGTGGGGCCAGAGAGGATGGGAGCTACGGGGGCACCTGGAGGGAGGCAGAGGCTGCAGGATTCCCTGCACGAGGGCAGCGGAGCCCACAGGGTGAGATTGTTCCTCTGCACCCATCTCTCTGCCCGGCTGTGCCCACCTCCCCACTTCTATCACCCATCGCCCATTGCCCCCACCCCCAGAGCAGGGATTCGGGAGCAGCAATCGGCTCGGCCAGCCCTGGGCTCACCCTGATTGGTGCAGTTGGCATGAGTCTCATCGCTGTAATCCCCGCAGTCGTTGTCCCCATCACAGGTCCAATGCACGGGGATGCAGCGCCCGCTGTTGCATTTGAACTGATTGCTGGAGCAGGAGTGGCTGCAGCCTGCCTCGTCGCTGTTATCCCCGCAGTCATTGTCTGGGGGGGAGAAAGCAGAGTAAAGGACTCAGAGAGCACCCAGAGCTGAGGAGGGCTGGGCAGAGACAGCGGGACGGAGGGGGGTTGGGGGGAGAAGTGGGAACAGCGGGGTTTGGGCAGAGCACACAGACAGACAGATGGACAGACAGACAGACGGATGGATGGACACAGGGTGGTGGCAGCCCCTCTGGTGCTGGCAAAGGGACCCCTGCAGGGGTGGCTGGGCTGCATGGAGAGCCCCACGGCTCCCACCCGTCCTCTGGTCCCCTCCCAACCCCCCAACATGCTCACCAGGCGCAGCCACAGCACCGGTAGGAAACAAAACACAGAAACTGCATAGATCAGCCATGGACCTGGGGGGGAGCTGGGGGTGGGGGAGCTGGGGGGCACCCAGCACCAATGGAACATGGGGGGCAGCGTGGTGAGCACGAGGTGCAGCCATGGGGACACAGCACAGCCATGGGGGGATGCCAGCTGGAAGGAGCCCCAGCTGCCACCAGGTTTGATGGGGATTTGATTCTGATGATGCCGTGGCACTGGCAGAGCGCCCCGCCACCTCACCCTGCACTTGGTAACGCGGCTGCTAGGCTCGTTGGCAGCGCTGCACAGCTCTGCTCTGCTGATGTCTGCTGAGTCTCTCTGCCTCCCCTGTATGGGGATCCTCAGCATGAGGGGGGTGGGCAGAGTTGGGAGCTATGCCCTCACTTCTGCAGCACGGGAGACCCTCCCTGACCCTACAGCCTGAGCTTCCCCACAGACTGCATATGGGGAGCACTGCACCAAGCTGTGAGAGCCACTGCTGCAGCATCTGGAGAGAGCCGGCCTGAGGGGGCTGCGGCACTCCGGGTTTGGGGGCAGGATTTGGGGGTTGTGTGGGGGCCAGGGGAGGGGCCGGTGCATGTTGATCTATGCACTAACCGGTAGGTTTTGGACAGTTCTTTTCGTCAGAGCCATCCCCACAATCTTTTTCTGAAACACAGAACCAACCAAGACAGGAGGGTGGGCACAATGACAAACACAACGCCACGGCACACGCACAGAGAGCAGCACAAGGATGGACACACCGACAGGGACACACAGACACACTGAGCCGAGGGAGGGGAGGTCAGAAGCAGTGGATGTGTTGCGGCCGGGGGGGTCCTGCTGTCAGTGCAGTCCCCTGCCCTTGGCTGCACCTGGGTGGGGGGACAGGAAATGCACAGCCCCTCAGCGGAGCAGCTCCAGGGGGGGCTGACCCAGGGGGGCTGGGGGGCTCCAGGGAGCAGCTTTCACCCCACAGCTCTCTGCTCATCCCCTGCGCACACCAAGCGCGCTCTGCAGCTCAGCGCACGCCTCACCTGCTCTGAAGCCACTAATTAACCCTAACAATGCAGAGCTGGTAGGAAGAGGAAATGAACCTGTGGGGAAGGAAGGCGGCCTGGGGGCAAACCCTTCTCCCCAGCCCTGACCACAGAGCTGAGCCCTTCGCTGCCTTCCCAGAGTTTTGGCACCTTGCAAGCAGCGCTGAAATGCGCACTGCCAGGCTGCTCCTGCAGCCCCATGCAGCCAAGGCAATGCGGGTCTCAGCGCTTGCAGCTCAGCCAACACCTCCTCCCTGCACTGCTCTGGTGCTCAGCAGGAGTGCCCTGCAGACAGATGCGAGCTCCAAGTCTGATCTCACCATCCCTGCTTGCCCCTTCCAGCCCCTTACCGTTGTCGCAGCGCCAGTTGATGTTTATGCAGCGGCCGTTGTTGCACGTGAACTGTGTCAGGGGGAAGCAGGTGGGGTAGGCTGCGGAGGAGGGAGAGGCACCGTCAGCACAGCCACAGTCCTCCCCCATCCCGAGGGACCCCCACTCACCGCACGATGCCGATTCGTCCGAGCGGTCCCCGCAGTCATCATCCAGGTCACACGTCCAAGAGATGGGGATGCAGCGCCCGCTGGCGCAGGAGAACTGGTTGGGGGAGCAGGTCCGGGCTGGGCAGGTCAGACAGACAGATAGATAGAGCACCATCAGCCAGCAGCACCCAGGGAGAGGAGCCCCCCAGGCACCAAACCTCCCCCAGGCCCCAAAGCTCCCCCCCACGGAGCTCCTCACCCGAGCAGGTGGAGTTGGACTCGTCCTCGTTGTTCCCGCAGTCGTTATCACCATCGCACAGCCAGCGGTTGGGGATGCAGCGGTTGTTCTTGCACTTGAAGCGGTCCGAGGGACAGGTGTGCTGGTCTGTGGAGGGGGGACACGCTCAGGACCGGCCCATTCCCCCCCAGACCTCCAATCTCACCACAGAGGGGTTACGCACGGCACAGCTCGGGCGCCTCATCGCTGTTGTCCAGGCAGTCGTTGTCCCCGTCGCATTTCCAGCGCTCCTGGATGCAGCGGTTGTTCTTGCAGGCGAACTCTCCGGGCTGGCACTGAGGAGGGGGGATGTAGGAGGGGTTGGCTGCAAAGGAAAAGCAGAGGGGAGGGGAATGGCTGTAACCAGGAGGTGTGGGGACAGCAGTGGGGACAGCAGCGAGGACCACCTGTGTCCCAGTGCCCACACAGCCGCCCCACAGCTTCCAGACACGCCGCAGCCGTGAGCACAGCAGGGCAGGACGCAGCACCTCGGCATGCAGACCCCCAAACCCCCCCATCCCCCAGGGAAGTCGTACCCTCACAGGTGACAGAATCTGCTCCCAGGATCTGATCCTCAGCGCAGGCGCACTGCCGGCCTCGCGGCGTGGCCAAGCAAAGGCTGCTGCAGCCACCATTGTTGACTCGGCATTTGTTGGAGCCCACTGTGGGGACAGAGAGGGGCAGCAGAAAGGGGTTCAGCACTCAGATGGTTGCTAGCTCAGCTCCCCAGGATCCCCAGCGGGCCCCACGGCTGGAACACGACTGCAGAACCCAATTCACCAGCACTGGGGTTCTCCCAGGGGATGTGGATGCCCCGTCCCTGGAGGTGTTCGAGGCCAGATCGGATGGGGCCCTGGGCAGCCTGGTCTGGTATTAAACGGGGAGGTTGGTGGCCCTGCACACAGCAGGGGGGTTGGAGCTTCGTGATCCTCGAGGCCCCTTCCAACCCGAGCCGTTCTGTGATTCTGCGATTCAGGCGCTGAACCAGCCAGTAAGACCAGGAGGGAGAGGGAGAAAGGAGGGAAGGAGGGAAGGATGTGGGAAGGATGTGGGATGGAAAGCTGAGTGTCCAGGGTATAACCAAGTGCGGGCAGCTCTTCAGCAGGGCCCTGCCTCCCAGCCTGCCCCTCCTCCAGACCCTCGGCCCCCCACCCCAGGCCTCGGGTCCCTGCAGCCGCTCGCCTTGCTGCTGCTGAGCGTCGTACATCCGGATCTCGAAGATGGGCGGGCGCTCGTTGCGCAGCAGGCTGACAGCCTTGGAGCTCTGGTCCAGGCGGTAGATGCTGCCGCTGCGGTACTCGGTCCAGAAGAGGAAGCTGCTGTAGTGGCACAGCCCGAAGGCGTGGTTCAGCTCCGGGCCCTCGTAGATGATCTGCAGATGTGGAAGGAGAGGACTGCTACCAGATGCACCGTGGGGCAGCGCCATGGGGCGGGACGAGGGGGGGCAGAGGCGAGCCAGCCCCGAGGCCATCAGGGAAGCCAAGGGCACCGAACTACCTTGCGCTCGGTGCCATTGAGGTAAACCATCTCAATGCGATCATAAAAAGCATCCACCCAGTAGAGGATCTTGGCTGGGATGTCCAGGCTGAGCCCGTTGGGCCACAGGACGGTTTTGGAGGTGATGAAGACGTTGCGGTTGGAGCCGTCCATCCAGGCCCGCTCGATTTTGCCCCTCTTGCTGTCCTTTGGGTCCTCCTCCCAGTCTGTCCAATACATCCACCTGCAACCAATGCTGCCATCACACACAGACCCACCCCACGCAAACAGCACCTCAAAATCCCAAATGCATCCCATGCACAGCCCACACACAGCCCACACACATCCCATACCCATCCCACACACCCCACACACAACCCATACCCATCCCACACACCCCATACACACCCCATACCCATCCCACACACATCATACGCACCCCATACCCATCCCACGCACACCCCACACACAGCTGTGAGGACCCCCCAGGCCCTGCCCTGCGCCCACCCATTCAGAGGATCCACCACGATGGCTCGTGGATGCGTCATCTTCCCCTCGATCAGCGTCTTGCGTGTCTGAGCCGCCTTCTCCAGCCGTGCCACGCTGATGGTCTTTTTGGGGCCGTCGTCGGTCCAGTACAGGTTGTTCCCCATCCAATCCACGGCGATCCCTTCCACGTTGTGGATTCCTACGGGGAAAAGCAGCGTTAGGAAGCAGCGTGAGGATGAGGAGCAGTGCCAGCCCTGCGGTGCTCGCGGCACCATCTGTCCCCGCAGCAGCACACCGTCCTTCAGGATGGTCTCCCTCTCCGTGCCATCGATCTTCTGCCTCCCGATCAGGTAGCTGGTGGTGTCAGCAAAATAGATGAAGCCGGTCTCAGCGTGGAAATCCAGAGCGCGTGGGTTCATCAGGTTCTCAATGGGGATCATGTGCTCGTCCGGCACTTTGGCCCCCATGTCCATCCCACGGATGATGCCGGGACGCCCTTTGCCGTACACCAGGAACAGCTCGTGCTCGGGCTCTGCGGGGACAACGGGGCAGCTCCAGCACCGGATGGGAATTTGGGCTGAGTGTGAGGGGGGGAAGGAGGGCTGCGTGCCCCCTGGAGCAGCACAGGCGCAGCACTCACTTTTGCAGGACTTCCCATCGCTGCCCAGGCTGAACCCGGAGCGGCAGCGGCACGTGCGGCTCTTATGGCTGTTCCCCAGCAGGCAGATATCAGAGCAGCCCCCTGGTTTGCCAAACTGGTCGGGTTCACAGGCATGGCTCCTCACTGCAGTGGCGGAGAGCAGAGAGGGGCTCAGCACAGAACACCGTGCAGCCCCACGTGCCCGGCCCTGAGCCCCCAGAGCGCACAGAAATCCCTTGATTACTTTTACGTTCTGGAAAATGCCAGGCGGGCTGCTGGCACTAAGAGGATTTTCAGTGTGTAAATTGATTAACTGCAAGAATGGGGCTGGAGGTGGAGCAGCATTGGTGGGGGGGGGCAAAGCACACAGCATCACTGCTGGGACCTGCCGGTGCTCACAGCCCCATCGTGGGGATGGGCAGCCACGAATGTTCCACAGTGCTGCCCCTGCTCTCAGTTCCCTTTGCTCTCCAGGGCATTCATCACCCAGCCTGGGATGGCTGCTGCTTCCATCCCTGCTGCTCCCGTCTCCTCTCCTTCCTTCCTTCCACTTCCTCTCCTTCCACCTCTGCTGCTCACATCACACACCAATGACACACAGAGCCCACAGAGGTGCCAGCTGCCCCAGGAGCCGTACCCAGCAATACCCCCAACCCCGAGCTGCTCACTGCCTCCCATCCCTCACCCCACACACTGTGCCACTACCAAAGGACCTCATCATCCCATCCCATCCCATCCCCACCTGTGGGCTGCCGCCGCTGGTGGTAGATGTGCAGCGCTCCTCCTTTATCCACGCGTGTCACCACCTGGTACTCCGTGCTGTTGAAGCGGTTGACGCGGATGACGCTCGTCTTCTGCTGAGCGTTGGCGTTGTCCGAGTTGGTGGCATAGAGGTAGTTCTCAAAGACTGTCAGGCCGTAGAGGTGCTCGATCTGAAGGCACAGAGAGCGGTCAGCACACGGAGCCCAGCCTTGGGGTACTGCTGTGCGCTGCAAGGCAGGAGACGGGGGTCCCAGCATGTGCCATGGGGCAGGACATGGGGGCCTCAGCGTGTGCCGTGAGGCAGGAGATGGGGGTCTTGCTCTGCACCACGGGGAGGAGATGGGGGCCCTGCTGCGCACCACCGAACAAGAGATGTGTCCCACTCACCAGGATGCCCTGGATGATGGTGTGCCGGTTCTTGCCCTCGTAATCCACCACCTCAATGTAGTCCAGGTAGGCGTCAGCCCAGTACACCAGGCGGCTCACCAGGTCCAGGGTGATGCCGTGTGGGAACACAATCTTACTGTCCACCAGCTTGGTGCGGTTCTGCCCGTCCATATCGCAGCGCTCCACTTTGGGGATCTGCCCGTAGTCCGTGAAGAACACTTTGCTGCCAGGGAGAAAGAGACGGCGCTCAGCGCATGCACTGCACAGCCTTCCTGAACGCCTGCAGCGGACGGATGTGAGCTGCTCCCCACTGGACCCCACTCTCCCGGCCCCATAGCCATGCTCACCCCATGGCCGGGTCCAGTGCGATCCCTTTGGGGTTGTAGAGCTCCAGGTCCAGCAGGGTGACGCAGGTGAGGCCATTTTTGTTGCAGACAAAGATCCGGTCGTCGATGTCATCCACAAAGTAGAAGTTGCCCGTCAGCCAATCGATGGCCATCTGCTCCACGTCTGTATGGGGGGGAAGGGATGGAAATCGGGGGGGGTTGTAGGGCAGGAGCTGCCCCATAGATGGGGACACACAGCACAGCACACAGAACCACACAGAGATGGAAGCAAAGAACCACAGAAGTGATTTAAATCATACGGACCCCCCTGCCCCACTCTGCCGTGAATGGGGACACCCACAGCTTGGTCTGTCCAGGCTGACCCCACAGCAGCCCATCCCACAGAGCTCTCCTTACATCCTCACATCCCATCCAAATCTCCCATTTCAGTTTGGGGCCATTTCCCCTCTCCTTGTCATGCAGACCCCAATGAAGGCTCCGTCCCCTTCCTCCCTACGGCCCCAGTTGGGGTCCTTGGAGCTGCACTGCCCACACTGAGCACTGTGCCCATAGGGAGGGCTCTGCAGGTGGGGATGGCTGTGTAGGGTGAGCAGCACGGGGCTGGGGTACAGCAAGGTGCAGTATGGGGTGTAGCAATGGGGTTCAGGTGCAGCACTGAGGTTGGAATGCAGCAATGGGGTTGGGGTGCATCATGAGATTAGGGGGCAGCACAGGGTCAGGGTGCAGCAATGGGGTTGGGGTGCAGCAGTGGAATTGGGGTACATCATGGGATTGGGATGCAGGAGCAGGGTTGGGGTACAGCAGTGGGGTCAGAGCGCAGCAGTGGGGTTGAGGTGCAACAGTGGGGTTGGCGTACAGCTTGGGGTCAACATGCAGCACTGCACTGGAATGGAGCAAAGAAGGCTGCGGGGTGACCTCAGTGCAGCCTGCAGTGCCCAAAGGGAGCCTACAAACAGGAGGGGGGTCAACTCTTGGAAAGGGAGATGACAGCAGGACAAGGGAAATGGTGTGAAGTTGAGGGAGGGCAGATGGAGGTTGGATGTCAGGGAAGTGCTGTGCTGTGAGGGGCTGAACAGCTGCCCAGAGAGGCTGCGATGCCCCGTCCATCCCTGGAGGTGTTGGAGGCTGGGTTGGATGGGACCCTGGGCTGCTGTGAAACGTGGAGGTTGGTGGCCCTGCGTGTGGCGGGGGGTTGGAGCTCCATGATCCTTGAGCTCCCTTCCAACTCTGGCCATTCTGTGATTGTGTGAATGCAGCACAGGGTTGGGGTGCAACAAGGGGTGCAGCAGTGGGGTAGGGGTGCAGCACAGGACTGGAGTGCAGCAGGGTCGGGGTGCAGCAGTGGGGGCTGAGCCCCACCCCCAGCCCCATGGAGCAGTGGGGAATGACAGCAGCTGAAGCGCAGCGCAGCACTGCCCAGCACCTCCATAGAGAGGAGCACTGCACCAAAGCAACACCAAACTTTCCCCCACACTTCAGCAGTTGGCGGCAGCGCAGAGCTGACTCACAGTCATAGGACAGAGTGCAGGATATGGGGGGGGGGGGGGGGGCATTGGGGGGGCTCTGGGGCCGTGAGCTCCCCAGCAGCTGCAGGCACAGCTGGGCAATGCTCAGCCGCTGCCTGCAATGGGGGCTGTGCTGCCAGGGGGCTGGAGGGGTCGGACCCCCGGCCAATGCTGGGGGTGACGCACGCTGCTGCTCCTCACCCAGGCTGTATTTTTGCAGCTGGAAAGCATTACGCTCCTCAAAGACTTTTGTTTTTCACATCCCCATCCCACCCCCTCCACTGCAGGAATCAGTTCACAAGACCATTATTATTATTAATTATTATTACTATTATTATTTTCCATCTTTTCTCGGGGCTTTGGCTCCACCCAGATCTCCCCTCACTTTCTGCACACACTCACTCAGCAGATGGACCCCCCATTATAACCCGCAGCCCCTACTGCGCCAAACCCCCATCCATGGGCCCCCCCATATCCCCATCCCCATCCCCATGGGGTGTATGCGGGGGGGGTGCAGCCCATGGGGGGGTCCCCCCCTTCCCTCCTTGCTCAATCCGCTCTGGGTGTTGCAAAGCATTGCAACACTGCCCACGGCCTCAGCTCCATTTATTTGCTCATGTCTGGAAAAGGACTTGGGGGGGGGAGATGGAGGAAAGGGGGGGTGAACTTTAAAGGCTGTTCCTGGAAGAACTGCGCTGCTCAGAGCTGCAGTGCAGCACTATGGGGGCCGGGGGAGGCCAGACCTGCACCAGGAGCACACAACCCCCCCCCCCCCTCCAAATCTGACCCACACAGACGCCGCCGCCGCAGAGATTTTGGGGAACCGTTTTTGCTGAGGCAGCATAGAACTGCCCCCCCCCCCCAGTGTGAATCAGTCGCTCTGCAAACGCATCCATGGTAGCAGGAAGGAAACGCAACCTCAGCTCTGACTCAAACATTGCAACACCGCTCCGGGATGGATGCAATGGAGATTATCACCTCAAACCCCCCAGCACTGCAGGGACCCGAATCTCAGCTGCCAGAAGGGAGCACATGCCAGGAGCGGGAACATCCCAGACCCTCCCCAACACCCCCCACCGCAGAGCCCATCTGAAAGCCCCCCCACCTCCCGCCCTGCAGTGACCCACGAGCTCCCAGCTCTGCGCTGCTCCGTGTGCAGATGGAGGAGCAAAGCTCAGTTCCGTTGCTGCTCTTTGGAGGGGGCAGCGGGGAGCCCTAGAAAAGCCGCAGTACGTTTCAGTTCAGAAACGTCCCCAAAGAGGAGCGGAGGATGGTAAGGGATGCCCTCCCTGGGGCTCCATGTTGGGTCCCCTCCTTTCTTAACACCAGAGTGATTTGTTCCATACATTCACATCATCCCATAACCTGAAGGAATTTCTGCCTCATCCCTCCTCACCCATCCACCGCCCTGCGGAGCACAAAGCGCCCTCTGTGGCAGCAAAGGGATCCATGGAGAAACGTTGCTCCTGGGGACCCATTTTCCTTCACTGAGGTGTGCTAAAGGGACGGGGCACAGCCACAAAGCCACCCTGAAGGGCTGCAGTGGGGACAGTGGGATTATGGGGTGGGACGGCACTGCGCTGTGTGTGCACCCCAAACCCCCATAGGGCACATGGAACACCTGGGGGCTGCTGCCCACCCCTCTGCCCACAGTGGGGTGAATGGGGATGGGCTGAGATGAAGGAAGGGTAATTGAGGGGCTTCTAATTAACTGCTCAGAGCTTAATGAGGTCGTTTCGTGGGCAGAGCTGCTGCTGGCTGTGACGGGGAGCACCCCCAGGCCTCCATGGGATGCTGCAGGAACCCAAAGGGGTCCCAGGATGGACTGATGGACGTACAGACGGATGTGTGGTGCCACCTCTCTGTGCTCCACAGGATCCCCAATTAACGTGGGAATTAATTTCGCCCATTGATCTCCAGCAATGCGGAAGCAGCGCTGTGCCTCTGCTGGGGGGCATGGAAAAGGGGGGGGGAGGGGAAGGGGCTGCAGCCTGACCCCCGGATTGCACCAAATCCACAGCACCGAGCTGCAGCTGCAGCCCCCAGCAATTGCATTGCATCGGCCATTCCTGCAGCACTGCACTGCACTGCACTGAGCAAAGCAGAGCACGCAGAGCGCTCAGCATCGCAGCAGAACAGAAACACAAAGAAAGCAATCCGTGCGTGGAGCGGCGCCCATCCCTCCTTCTTGCCAAGCGCATCCACAGCAGAGCCTCTTTCTTGGCTGCAGGGAGGAAGAAAAACAGCCCTGCATGCAAAGCGGGGCAGGAAAGCATTAATTCCTCCCTGAATCCATTCACCCTGCAGCTCTGCTGCTTATTGGTTGGGTCAGGAGAGCGGTGGGGCTGAGATGGACTCAATGGAAACCTCCTGGCCATGCGTGTTGGAGGGAGGCAGCTGGAAAGGGATTTCAATAACGGGCTGGTTGCTGTTGTTTAAGGCTTATGATGCAGCCAGGATGGAAAGTTCTGATATTTCAAACCCCTTCCTGGGGGTTTGGTTTATGAAAGGCAAAGAAAACATGAAACCTCGAGGTGAGAATTGATAAATCAAGAGATTTGCAGCCCTTCGCCAGCAACAGCAGCGCTCCAGAGCGCGCAATGGAATGCACTGCAGCACGAGGCAATGCACTGCCCTGCAATGCAATGCCTACAGTGTGTGGGGCAGCTAACCCTGAACCCATGGCTGTGGCCATGTAAAGCACTGGCACCCAAGGGGAGCGGAGAGGGGTCTGTGTGGGACCCCCAGTGCTGTCATGGGGCCCATAAGGAGATTGGGTTTTGTCTTCATCTCCTTGAAAGCCCCCTGGAAGACCAAACTCCAAAGGAGTTGAGGGCGTCGCATCAGGAAATACATGGAGAGGTTGGAATCTGGTGGAGCAAAGCCCCGGCACAGGGCAGGGGTGGGGGTCAGCCCCCACAGAGGCTTCTGCAGCCCCTGGAATGGATCTGCTCCATGGTGCTGGGCTCCGTGCACAGCAGCACACGCTGCTTTCTGTCCTTGAATGCATTTGGTGCCTGCCAGGATTTCCCCCTGATTAGAAACAGGGCTGGAATTCTCACACAGAGCAGGGGAGGGATTGAGAAAGAGAGGAAGGGAGGAAAGAACAAGTTCCCCTTTCTGCAGCTCGGCGTGGGCAGGAAGGACGGGGCTGCAGCTCCTGCGTGCTCACAACCCCATGGAGGGGGCAGCACCGGACAGGGAAGGAGGAACCGAGCTCCAAAGCGATGCTGTTCTGCTGCTGGTGGGGTTTTACCCTTCCTTCCCTAAGAGCAATAGGTGGGATGCTCCTGGGGGCAGGGAATGGGCAAGGAGACAAACCATAAAACGAGCATGTGCAGCAGCATTGGGGAGCAGAACAGCTGCACTGCTGCACTGAGGGCTCAGCAGCACAGGAGATGGGAAAGCAACGCTGCAGCATCCAGCAGCCCTGGCCAAGCCTGGTTAACAGCATCCAGCACAGCTCCCACGGCACAAGTGACACCACTCATCTCCTTGCAGGGACACAAGAGGGGACAAAACGGGTCCTATGGCACCGGGCTGCGGTGTCCCAGCCCCACACTGACAGCTGGGGCTGCTCGCTCCCAGCCCTGCGGTGCCCTGTGGGATGCAGATGGAGCCCCTCAGCACCAGGGAAGTCTGGCTCCTGCTGTGAGCTGATCAACACCACAAAGCAGCTGCTGCTAATTGGGTTCACAGGTCTTAGTGTCCCTGGGGGGGGGGGGGGGGGGAGTGACATTATCTCCTCATCAGCACGTCCCCAAACCAACCCCAGGCTTTGGGATCAAGGCAATGAATATCTGAGGCTGAAAACCAGAGCCTAAAATGCCAGAGCCAAAGTGCTCAGCAGCACAGAGCTGAGGTGGAGGAGGGACCCCGTGGCCACGGGTCAGCCCTGGATGGGCATCATGCATGCAGGACATGGAAGCACCGGCGCTGAGCTCCACCGGAAGCAGCAGCGCAGCACCCTGAGCTCTGCCCCTCTGCTGCACTGAACGGAGAAACCCAACGTGGCCAGAGGGAACCTCGCAGGAGGGAAGGAGAACGCGAAGTCAGACCTCACAGCAGCGTGGTGGGGATGGGAGGCAAAGCTCAGCCCCTCCTGCCTGATTTCAGGCTGTGAGAGCGATGGCCTCTCCCTGTAAACACACACAGCTCCATCCAGCACACGAACTGGGAGCCGAAGGGGGTGGCAGCGCTCTGCCGTGACCCGTGGGTCCCTCCGCTGCACCTCCCAGCCAACAGCTGACATCCCAGCAGGGAGCAGGCTGCGAGCAGCAAGCCCCAACAGGAGGCTGTGCTGCAAAGCCCTCCTCACACCAAGCAGAGCCACCATCGCCCTCTGACTCACAGCCTGACGGAGCAGATTTGGGGTTGGGATTCTCATAAGCACTGCTCAGGGTGGGGACTGAGGCAAGAGGAACACGGGGCCAAAAGGAAAAGGGGAAATGAGAAGAGTCCCAGGTGCCGGCCATTCCTCTCGGTGTGTTTGCACAGAGAAACCGCTGGACTCACCAGCAACAGACAGAGGGAAGGAAGGGGGAAAAGCCAAAGCCAGACGGGCAGGGAGGAGGAAAACTGCGCAGGAAGAGCTGCACAGCCCAGGGAGCAACTCACGGTGCAGGCTGAGGGAGATGTTGATGGAGCGCTCCTCCACGAAGCCCTTCAGGTTGGGGATCTTGGCACACTTGAGGATGGTTTGGGACGCGCTGTCGCCCACGTGCACCCAGCACACCGTGTCCTCGATGTAGTTGAAGTCCATGGCCGTGGTCTGCTTGGCACTGGTGGGGGTGATGTTGGGCACCGGGGCTCCGCTCAGGTACGTGGCCAGGATGTTCTGGGAGTTGGCAATGAGCAGCACGGGGGGGCGATCCACGGGCTCTGGGGAAGGAGGGCAGAGAAACGGGGCTGTGACAGCAACACACAGCAGTAAGGGCAGCTGAAAGCAGTTAAAGGACCAGAGCCACAGCCCCACCAGGAGCCCGCTGCTTTCCCCAGGCTCTCACCATTCTTGGCTTTGCAGGATCTGTTGTCGGGCTGCAGGAGGTATCCTTCGACGCAGCTGCACGTGTAGGAGCCCTCGGTGTTGGTGCAGGTCTGGCTGCAGGTGCCATACACAGTGCACTCATCAAAGTCTGCAAAACAAAGAGAAAGGGGGTTTGGAGCAGCAAACGTCCTCCTGTGACAGCCGCGTGAGGGGAGGACACGATGTGCAAGGAAGCCCAGCAACACACAGAAAGCAAAGGGAGCTCCAGCACGGCTCCTGGTGAGCCTCACCTCGCAGCCCTGTGCTGTACCAGTGGGCAGAGGGGAAGCAGAAGGAGAACTCTGCTTCACCATGGACTCTTTGAGGCCTCACTGCCCCCTGCCCTCCTCACTGCTCTGCAAAGCTGCACCTCAATTCCCAGCCCGGATCGCTTTCCTGTGCAGCTCCCGCCCCCTTGGTTGGCATGCTGCTTTCTTCTGCGAGATGAAAGGGCTGCTGCACCACAGAGCCCTCACCCAGCGCTGCGTGCAGAGCCGATATCGTCCCCTTCCCACCTCTGCTCAGATAAATGAGGGACAGAGCCACTGCAACCTCTCACCTCGGGACTTGTTCCCAGGATCTGACGGCCGCTTTGACTATGCCCTGCTATCCAACGCCCTTCCCAGCGCACTCACACCCCTGTGTGCTCACATCAGCATCCTTCCTCCTGCTCAGCTCAGCTCTGCACCCACCCAACAGACCCACGGCCGAAGGGAGACCACCGCCCCCCCCAGGGGGGCCCAGAGGTGCTGAGCTCCATGAGAGCCCCTTCGGGGCCCCCAAACCCACACCCACCTTTGCAGCTCCTCCTGTCCTCAGCCAGCTGGAAGGAGTTGTTGCAGTAGCAGGCAGGGCCGCTCAGCGTGGGCACACAGTGGTGCTGGCAGCCCAATGCCGTGCAGTTGGCCAATTGCTCTGCAAAGAGAGGCAGAGAGGTCAGACAGACAGAGCGGAGCTCAGTTGGTTCTGCCCCATGGGACCCTTCCCCTCGTGGAACGGCTCAGTCCCAGGTTCGTATCTCCTTGCTGAAGCACCACAGCATCCAAGAAAATAGCAAGAAGCCCTAAGAATGCACAGCCTTAAGTGGGGAGGGGAGACAATGGCAGGAGCACAAAGGCTCCAATTGCACCACCTCCATCTCCTGGGGGTTTCTGCAGGGGCACAGAAGCCCCCGAGGTGCAGATGGGGCCATGCAGCTCCTCTGGGTGCTCTGCAAGACAAAGCTGAGCCATCAGAGGAAGCTCCTCTTGGCAGCAAAAGAGCTCAGGGCAAGAGAGGCGAGGTGCAGAGGGCAGCAAGCAATCAGCCAGCAGGCAGGGTGGGATGGGCAGTGGGAGCTGGGGGTGCTTGTTAGAGTCTGATGAGCCCCACACTGTGCTCCCACACGTAGGGCTGAGCCTGGTTGGCTGCTGGGAGCATTGGGAGCTGCATTGCACTGCACTGCACTGCACCGCACTGCAGCAGCGTGCATTGCTCACTCTGCACTGCTCCGTTCGGAACCGGCAGCTCTCAGACGACCCACCTCCAGGCTGGACGAGCAGCACCGCCCCAAACATGGAGAAGGGCTGGGGCAGGTGTGGGGCTCAGCACCCATCGGGACCCCAGCAGCACCCAGCAGCTGCCCTGGCCCGGTGCCATCAGCACCTTGTCACGCGTTGCCCGGCCGTGAAAAATGAGCTCTCATTTAACTGGTGAGACCTATTAGCTAAATATTAATTGTCAGCAGGGCAGGGCTGCACAAAGAGCCCCGCACTCCTCCTGCCGGCACTTCCCATGCACAGCCCAGCCCAGGGCTGCAGGAGGGAGGGGAGCAAAGTAGCGTGTCCCAGCATGGGACTGGGCTAAACAGGATGGAAACGGCCCCAAAAGAGCCCCCACCCGGGGCTGGAAGCACTGAGCTTGCCTACAGCACACAGCCCGCCCTGGGGTCAGCCCAGGACACGCACAGCTGATGTGTGCACCGGGCAGCGATGCGTGCTGAGATTTGGGGAGAGTTTCCCAACAGGATTAGCAAGCAGGGAGCAGCCCCGGCGGGGGGGGGGGAACAAAGCTCCTGGAAATATGGAAAAAAATACATCAGCATCTCTTATCTGAACCAGATTCCCAACTCTCCAAGCTGTTAAACCCAGGAGACAATGCAGCTATTTAATGGCCTGCAGGCTCAGGAATGATGGGCATTTACTTGCAAGCGGCTCTGGATAATCTCTGAGTGCACAGATTGCCAGCTCAGCTGCCCCCGGCCGCTTGCTGCTGGGACAGGGGCACGAGCACCTCCACCAGGGTAAATCATGGCCACAAAGCAGCAGGGGAGCTGCCTGGGTCCAACCCCAAACCATCCGCAGCTCAGGGACCTCACGATTCACCCCGGGAAGAGAGCAGGGGGGTATTTTGTGATGCTGTCCCCCCCTACCCACAAATCTTGTTCTGCACAGGACAAGCAAGAAAATGCCAACCCGAATCCCAACACCTACCCCTGCAGTGAGGCCCCTCATCCGAGCCGTCGAAGCAGTCGTGGAGCCCGTTGCACAGTTTGCTCATGTGGATGCACAGCTCGGTGCCCAGGCAGTTGTGCTCGTTGGGTTGGCACCGCGACACTTTGCTCTGAGGGCCTGCAAGGACAGCCAAAGGCACAGCAGTCATTCCCCAAATCAGGGTGCAGCCAGCTGCCCCCCTCCATCACCTCCCACAGCACCCAGCCCAGCACCGAGCACGGGGACGGATGGGCACAGCTCACCCCACAGCAGCGCACAGCAGCTATGGGGCACTGGGAAGACCTGAGCACCCCTGATCCCTGCTGTGAGCCCTGGGGTCCCACGCCTCCCCGGGCGCACAGATGCATGGAACCCAGGTGCCCAAAGCACACCCACAGGTGCCAACAAACCCTTTTGCTCCTCTTGTGCAGGCAGGCAGCTGGCAGGGGGCTGTTAAGCACCAGGGTTACGTGATACCAGGAGCCATAATCTCCATTATTAACACACAAACTTACAAAAGAAGCACAGCTTAATTTTAAGCTTCTCTGAAAAGCAGCACGGCATTAAGGCAAACAACAAAACACCCTGCAAACCAAATAATGCCCCCAAACCCATTAAAAGCCCTCCCGGCACCTCGGCTCCGACCAACAGAGCAGAAGCCCCAGGGTGCAGAGCGCAGCAGGAGCTCTGGGTGCAGCAATCCCAGCCTCCCTGCCCCCAAATCTCTCAGGTTTTAGCGCTGAATAAGGAACTCTCCAACAGCTCTTGCTGGAGTCACTGCTGTACCTCTACTGAGGCAAGAGCAGCATGCAAGAAAATGATAAAATCCCAAAAAAAATCTCCCAACGGGAGACAGCAGTGTGAGCAGCTCCCATGGGGGCACACACCAGATGGGCACCAGCAGCACGGCAATGCCCAGCTCCCATCGCAGACCTGCAGGCTCCATGCCTTGGGGTTCGGGCACTGTAGGACTTATCCTAGACCTGCCAGGCTCCCTTGGGATCCACACTGAGTGCCCTCTGCCCGCAGCTCCGTTTCCTGGAAGCTGCTGCATTACACTGGCTGTGCTTTCGGCCCCAACCCTTGGGCTGACAGCAGGCATTGCTCAAGCGAGGGCTGAAAGCTCCCTGCAGGACAGACAGCTGTGATGGGGACACTGCCAAGCCCAGGACAGCCCATCTTGCACCCCACCGGGCACGGGGACCGCACTCCTCCTGCCCTCATATCTCCATTATGTGCCTCCTTCCTATGGAACAGTGCAGGGACTCAGCCTCCCCTCCCTGCACTGCACAGCAACGCCTGCTGCCCTCAGCTGCGCCGCCATGGAAGTCCATGAAGCACAGGCTCAGCACACAGACCGGAGCACTGGGAAGAGCCAGGCTGGGAGCAGGGGGACACAGACAGCTCCGGTGTGTATCCCCTGTGCACAGGACCCCCCCCGATTCCCCTCCCAAATGGGAGCCTCCACCCCACCCAGCGATGAAACGGCAAATTGTTTCTGGATGAGCAGCCACAGAGGGTTGGGTTGTTCTCCTCTGCCCTTCCCAACTGAGCCCCGCTCTGCAGAGCTGGCAAATGCAGCAGGAAACCTGTAGTGAGGGGCCCCAAAGCCCAGCAGTGTAGTGGGGAATCCCTGCAAGCTCCCACCCAGAGCACACAAAAAGATCCCAGTGTGCCAAGGTGAAAAACTCCAACCCACCGCCGTCTGGTTCATGCAACGTGAGCAACGTTGGGAGAGCGCAGCAGCGTGCCCTTCCTTGCCCAGGAGGTGCCCAAAGGATGGGAGTCCAAAGATCCCATTGCTGTGAGGACAGGATGCTCTCCCAACACATGTAGGCACGCTTCCAGTCCGCAGACTCACGCAGCACGGGGAAATCAACCATAGTGTCATAGGTTGGAAAAGACCTTCCAGATCATCGGGTCCAACCATGTGGGCTGGACTGCAGAGCTGGGGATGAGAACCTGAGCACTGGGCTCTGCTGCAGCCCTGGGGCCAAACACTGCTCCCTGCTCTGCCTTCCAGCCCCCAAAGTGCTGCTCTGTCCCTTCTTCAAAGGGGGTCGAGCCACACTGCCATCAAGCAATAGCAAATTAAGGGTTAATTAAGCACCATCAGTAAGCAGGCCAAAAGAAGGAAGGCACCGAAACAAAGTGCACAGTCCATCAGTCAGAACTGATCTGCCATGCTCATCAGTCCCTGCACAGAGCCTGGATCAAACTGCTTATCGCAAACAGGGCAGGATTAATCTACAAGCCACTCTGTTTGCTTTTGACTGTGTTGGTTTGCTAATAAATGAGGCCATTTATCACATGTGACAAGCTTGTGGTACACCCCAAGGAGCCGAATTAGGCCGGAATTTTAACCTCACTTGGGAAAAAAAAAGGGGGGGGGGGGGGGAAAGAAGAAAAGCAATTCTTTCTTCCACAAATATGGGCTGTAATTGATTTGGCAGCAGCCCAAAGAGACGTGAAGTGGGGAAAGCTGCAAAAGGAACAGATGGGAGCGTGACCCGGAACAGGTAGCCCTGCCCACGGCCCGCATTGGGCGCCAGCACCAGCACTGCACCACCGGGGTCCCTCTCTGCACAAGCCGTGTGCTGCAGCTCCTCCTCAAAGCCAACGCTGGGCAGGATTGCTTGGCTTCAAGCACGGCCCTGCTGGATGCAAACGCCCCCTGGCTCCGAAGGCTGTTGGCTGCGATGGGCAGCAGGAAGGGTGCTGCCATCCAGCAGTGCACGAGCAGAGCCCACCGGGCTGCCCTGCGACCCCCATCTGAGCCTCGGGCACGGGGCCAGCAGGGGGAACAGCCATCAGGCAGCCACAGCAAATCCATTTCCCAGTGCTCCTTTGGTGCGCGGTGGGGTGGAGGCTCTTGTCCAAGTTTTGCTCCTCGGGAAAGCGTGGTGGAATGCGAAAGCGATGGGGTAAGAATCAGTGCATGCCTCTCGTGCGGACACGAGTGCATCCATAGAGCTTAAAAGGGAACTCTCCCCGCGCTCAGCGAGCACGTGAGCAACGCCAGCCAACGCTTAAAAGGATTCCCTGGAGAGGCAAGCCTTCTGCATAACAGACAGCACTTCCAGAGCCTCTGACATGAGCGCACTGCTGCAATGTAAATAGCCGTGCCTGGCTGCCAGAGCAGCACCCGCAGCCAGGGCTGGGAATGATAATAAAAAAATCCTAATAATTAAATAGCAGGAATAAAAATCGTTCTCTCCCCACCAGAAAGATAAGGGGCACGAGAGCCTTCTGAATGCCCAGGTGCCAAAGCGGCGTGAGAAAACTCGCTTGGCAAACCAGCAGCCGTCTGCCAGCGCCGACAGGCCGGGCTGTTTGCACGAGCCTGGGCAGGAGCGGGCAGAGCCGAGCATCCCTGCGCCCAAGGGAGAGGCGCCCCGGGGCGATGCCCATCCGGCTCCGCCAGCTCATGCCAGGCCAAGAGCAGGATGCGAGGGCTGGGGTCCCTCTGCCCTTGGCACATGGGGTCTCCTCCCGCAGCGGGTGCGGATGTGAAGATTGTGCCTCTGCATCTCGCCTCCCGGCCCAGCGCAGCGGCTGCTGTTCTCCCTGCCCAGGCTCTGCAGCCCCACCAACGCCGCTCAGGCAGCGAAGAATAAGGAAAGCGAGGTGGAAAAAAACATCCGGGGCGTCCATCTACCTGCCCAGATGGATAAAGAGGGCGCTGTGAAACGGGCACAGGCACAGCTAGCAGGATGCGTCCATCGGGACGGACTTCTTCCAGTGCTGGGAAAGGCCTCCAAGCCGTCCCGCAGTAATTTTCCAGGGCTGCTGATTGAGAGGAGCCAGACAGCCCATCCCAACCCCCCATCCCTCCCACAGAGGGGACGGTTGCATCATTTTTGCTTTCAGAAATAAATAACTCCAGCGCTGCACCGCAGCCTGCTTGGGAGGAAAGCCGCGTGCCAGGAGCAGCGGGCGGACGGGGAGGACGGGGAGGACGGGGCCGCGGCGCTGGGTGTCAACAGCAGCGCCTGGCAGCTGGGGGCCGCTCTCCCGGCACAGAAACACGGGGACGCGCTCTGCAGGAGCCCCGCCTGGCCCTGGCGCACCAGCACGGCTCCTGCTCACGGCAAGCCTCGGCCACCCCGACGCGGCTCCCGGCCCCGTCCGACCCGGCGCGGCTCCTGCTCGCAGCCTGCCCTCCCCCGTTCCCCCACGGCCGCTCCCCTGCGTGGCAGAGGGTCCCGGCCCCACTCAGCAGCCCCCTGCCCTGCCCGGGGCGGCTCCTGCCCCCCCTCACCGCACGCTGACTGCGAGACCCCCCGGCCCAGCGCCCCCAGCATCTGGGTGGAAGCAGATCCGAGCAGCGCCGTCAGGGCGTGGCGGCAGACAGACAGACAGACGGACGGATGGAGCTGCCCCGCGTGGCGTCCAGCGGTGCGACAAGGGGACCTCGAGCAACGAGCAAAGGGAGCAGGACGGAAAGGGTGATGAGGAAGGAACGTCATACATACATATATCGGGCGATTCGTCCGAGCCATCGGGACAATCCTTTTCCCCGTCACATCGCCAGCCCTTAGATATGCACGTAATCTGATCTTTGCATGCAAACTGTTTGGGGCTACAAGTCTTCGGTGCTGGATGAGAAAAGAAATAACCATAATAAAGAAGATCAGTTTCTTCCCAAACACGTTTCCCAATAATAATAAATTAAAAAAAAAAAAGTAGTTTAAATTAAGGACTAGATTGCTTTCCTTCCTAATGGCTGAGCGAAGGTTGCAGGCTGGCATCAGATCCATCAGCCCTGCCCCTGAGGAAGGGAGAAAACGTAAACTGAAGCATTAATTACACCACGAGAAAGCAGGAGCTGAGATCCATGATGCGCTAACAGATTTTAAAGATCATTTAACTCGGATGAATTCGCTCCTGGGAGCCCAAGGCGCTGCGCTTTCTATGCTAGACGGGAAAAAAAAGGAAGGGAAAAAATAGATAAAAATGAGAAACGCCAAATGAGAACAAATTAAAAAGCCGTGGTTTTAAATCACGCAGACAGCAGCACAACCTGGCTGTGGGATGCTGGTGGGATGGAGATAGGGGCTGCAGCCCCCCGCGCTGCCCCCCACCACCGCACTGCTGTCAGCAGGAGGGGTAGAGTTGAGCCCACCCCCCTTCCCCCGGCGACACACAGCTTTTCGGCCAGCAGACGCTGCAGGAAAGTTCTTTCTTGGTTGATGCACAGCTGGCAGAGAGCAAAAATGCACGTGTTTGCACCAATGCAACGCATGGGACGAGCAGAGCTCAGATATCGGTGCAGCACAGGGCAGGCAGCAGAGCTCAGCTGAGCGCTGCGACCAGGAGGGTCCATCCTCCATCACAGCCCCCTCCCATGCACTGCAGCCCCCGCGGCTCTGTGCCCATCCTGGGTCAGAGACCCAACGCTGAGCGCTCAGGGAGGACATCTGGAGAGCCCACCCAAAGCCCCCCACACCCAGCTGGGGCATTTCTCAAGTGGAAGGCATCGTTCCTGAGCACGCACCCGGCATCGCCCCCACCTTCTGCTGGGCTCCAGGACGCAACCCACTGTGCTCACGGGGGTCTCTGTGTCCCGGCCCCCAATCCAGCAGGAGCTCCCCCTCCTCCATGAGTTTACAAACACTGGGTTTGCTACCACAACCACAGCAAAGAGACGGCGCCGCCTCAGATTTCCTGCTCTCCCTCCCCCCCGCCAAGGCTTCCAGCAGCCCCACACTGAGACTCAGCCAGCCATGGGAATAAGTCAGCTGTCAGGACCCCAAATAGCCCAGATGGGAGCAAGTTTGCTGCCAGGACCCCATGCACATACACGCACACCCCGGCCAGCCCCCAGCCCCCAGCCCCGCTCAGCTCCAGTCTCGCCAGCAGAGCAGCAGGGTAGCCCAGAGCCCCCACCCCAACTCCAAGCCCTGCAGGTCTGCGTTTGCACAGGATGAGAGCTGAGCCAGATGGGACCTCTGTCCTTGTTTTGCACCAGAAGAGCTCACCGACACCCGGCCCTGGCACAGCTGCTTTATTTTGCACCAAACAACAGCAGCACGGAGATTCACCCCGTGCGCCTCGATCCTGCAGCCCCACCGAGGGCAGAGCGGAGCAGAGCACCAAAACATGCCAAGCACGTGCCAGGTTTTCCATCGGGAATTCCATCCCAGAGACGTGCGCCAGCCTCACACCGTGTGCCATCACCAGCGCTGCCCGCCGTCCCCACGGAGAGGCACCTGGATGGAGCAGGATGGACGCACGGCTGCCCAGAGCCAGGTGGGAATCCGGGGAGGTGTGCATCAATGCTGCGTTCACACAGAGCCAAGTTTGGCCCCGGGAGCCGCAGCAGCAGAAGTGGGAGCTGAGCTGAGCTGAGGGGCTCGGAGCGCGGAGGGGAATAAAGGGGCCTTCATGTGGCACACAATGGGCAGCTCAGAGCAGAGCCCAGCGCAGCTGCGAGAGCCGTCCATGGCAAACATTGCCCTCTTTAGCAGTCGGAGGAGCGAGCCCTGCTGAAAAATAAGGCAGAAGAAGGGGAAAACGTTGCTCCAAACAACACGCGGTTATTCCGGAGCAAGAAGGGCACCTCCTTCCCTGGGGAGGGGGGGATGTGCGACCCCCAGCAGCTCCTGCACGTGGGGATGGGCAAAGCCGGAGGGCTTCCAAAGCACTTTGAATGCTCCGAACATCACCACCTCAATTTGCTTTTTGCATAAAGGAGGGCACCAGCACTCCACTTTAAATGGGCTTTGTCCGAGGGCGGTGAGCAGAAGCTCCTCCAGGAGACCCCAAATTCCCTGTGATGGGCAGAGTAAAACCCCGATATTGGACAGCAAAGCCCCAAAAGCCTTGGGACCATCGCAGCACTCGGCACAGCACTCTCTCCTTCCTCAAGAGGAGCCTGCGGCCGCTGCTCCGTAAAGGAAACAGGGCTGGCAATAAATACGGGCTGGAATGAGCATGATTTGCAAAACAGATGTTCCAAACCAAGGCGGGGGGGGGGGGGGAGAGGGAGAAAAATAAATCCACTCTGCATTCCTGGTAGGTCTTCGTCCCCCAGCACTCTGCTCTCTCCCACATCCATAGGGCAGCACGGGGCTCACCACGTCCCCCCCCTCCCCCCTCTGCACCCCGACCCCCGGGGCTCCATTGGCCGCAGCACAGCTCTGTCCCACGGCCGCTTTTGGGTGTGAGCACCTCGTCCCACACACCGGACACCGCAGCGCGATCCCTTTTGCCTTCACTTTCCCTCTGCCTCCCCCCCATCCATCCACTCTTTGTTCTCAGATTTCAGAGCCATTCGTCCACTCTTTGCCTTCCCAGCACCCTTCCCGTCGCTCTGCCCTCAGCCGTGGAGGCACCGAGGCGCACGCTGCAGCAATGCCCCGATGCGGAGCTCCGGGCAGAGCTGCAGGGCACAGAGGAAGCACCGAAGGGAGACTGCAGAGACCAGCGGGGCTGCGCCGCCCCCAGCTCACAGCCCTGAGGCCAAAGCCGGCCGTCCGCAGGCTCTGCAGAACCAGACCGAGTAACAGAGACGTTTAAAACAACACAACCCGGATCCCGCAGCCGTATTTTGTCAAGGAGGGGGGGGGGGGGGGGTGGCGGCTGGGATTGAGGCTAATTTGTTTGGCTTGCATTTAAGCACAAGATCTCCAAACAGTTCAAATGCATTTTTGCAATTCTTCCATCTGGCCCCTTTGCACGGGAAGATTCAAACCAGACCGCAGCGCTCTCTGCACGGCCATAACGGAGCTCTGTTCCCTCCGTCCCACTCCGAGCCACAAATATTTGGGCTGTGAAAGGGGGGAGGGAGGGGGGGAGGGGCTGCCTCAATTGCTGAGTAAATGTTGACTTTAAAATACGTGGGTTTTTTTTTTTTTTTTCCCTTTCAAGCCGGCCTGCCGCGTCCGTATCAACAGCGCTGCTCTGCTCAAGGAGAAATAAAAAGGGGTTTGCAAAGGGAGAGCGTGAGCTGCTCTGCGGGGTCTGAGGGGGAGCAACGCGGCACTGCTGGGGAATGCACGGCTGTGGGTGGAGAAGAGCTGGGGCTGCGGGATGGGGGCGATCTGAGCGGCACTGCGCCCAGTGACACGTGGCACAGCCACCCTGCGCCGCTGCCGGACCCCAAACGCTGCTGGGCGGGAACGAATCGGCTGCCAGGACCCAAAACGACCCCAAGTGGGAGCAAGTGGGCTGCCGGGACCCCATGAACCTCCAGATGGGAGTGCACTGGGTGTCAGGACCCCAAACACCCCCACGTGAGGGCGAGTGGCTGCAGGACCCCCGACACCCCCAGGAGGGAGCGCACTGGGTGCCACGACCACAAAGACCCCTACGAGGGATGCCAGAACCCATAAACCCCTGAGTGAGAGCAAGCCAGCTGCCAGCACCCCAAATGCCCCCGAGGTGGGAGCAAGAGGGCTGCCAGGGCTCCGAACACAGCCGTGTGGGAGTCTGCTGGGTGCTGGGACCCCATGCACCCCCAGGTGGAAGCAAGTCAGCTGCCAGGACCCCAAACAGCCTGGGTCAGAGCTGACCGGGTGTTGGGCTGCCAGGACCCCACCACACGTATGCCCACCCCCAGGCCCCGCTGATGGCCCCACTGAGGAGCAGGGATAAAGCAGCACAGACCCCAAACCCCCAACACTCCCTGGCCCCCCAGGATCTCCCATCCCCGTTGTTCCTCCATCCCCACAGACAAAGGAGGGCAGTGGGGCCACAAATGGCGACGGCAGAGAGCAGAATTTGCCCACCCAGAGGGGGAAGGGGAATAAATCCCACCGCAATGTCCCATCGCTGAGCAGGTCCTGGGGGGCGAGGGGGGAGGATGGCAGCAATGCTGACAGCAGCAGGAAATGTGGGTGCAGGGGCTCCTGTGTGAGACCCCTCCCCACAGATCGGTCGTGGGGGGAATGCATTGGGAGATGGGTGGGGTTTTTGGAGGGGATGGGGGAAAAGGGGGGGGAAGGAGAAAAGGGCAAGGAAAAAAAAACCACAAAATAATCCCCAGCCACCATTCCTTTTTTTTTCTTTCTTCAGCTTATCTGCAATTTAAATGAAAAGCAAAACCAGAACCAAAAGAAAGAAATAAAACAAAAAGCAGCCGAGGGAAGGGGCTGCAAAAACCCCCCAGCTGTGGGAGGGGGCCTAGCTGGCAGCCACCCACGAGGGGGGGGCATTCCTATTCCATATAGAGGGGGTAATCGGGGGGG